CATCTTTCAATTTCAACGATTCTTTTAAACGACGTCGTACAGATTCACGATTTCACGGTATTAAGAACTTAATCATGTTTGTGACACTTGACGGGGAGTAAATTCCAAATAAAGTTTTCTAATATTTGTTTTATTTTCTTTATTATCTAAATATTATATGAAATTGCAACAAAGTGGTCTAAAATTAATCCTGATAAAGTTATATATACATTTTGTACCTTTTTTTAAATATATAAACATTACAACTATTCGCAACTCATAAAACATGCAATCATAAAACTTCTCCGTTGATTTTCTGAAAATGTATCTTTCGCGATAGTCTGTTTAAAAAAAAATGTTTTCTCAAACTTTTCGTTTTCTTCAGGAAATTTTTTACGCACAAAAACTCCAGTTTTTCAGGAAACCTTGAAGCAGCGTGGGAAAAAAACGATTTATTTCGCCGCACAGTTATTTCGCCAAAAGTACCTGTGGGGGTCTAAGAACTTTGTCAGACTCACTACCGCATAATGCTGTCTTAAAGCGACAAACCGGTTTCCCACATTTTCCCCGCTTCTTTCGTAACCTTCGTGTCTATGTGTTATAGAAAAAAGTACTATGGAGCGATTTAAAGCGACCTTTGTAGGTAAACGGAAGTCCTGTTTTACAACGTTATTGATAAATGTATACAGGAGTATCGACGCTTAATTAGGGTTCGTTAAAATATAAATATAATATTCTCAGCCGGGCTATAAATTGATAACAACACCTGAGATAAGATTTTGTTGCTTATTTACGTTTTATTGAACTTCACCCATGTGTATTCGCGTCTTTGAAATACTAAAACTGCACTTTTCTGATAAATTTAATGGAGGAAAATCTCGTTACACACGGTGCCCATACATCGGTTATCTGTTAAACGGAACGTTGTCCAAACGAAGTTGGGATAGATAATGCAATGATCTAATCACGGCTGTATACTTATCGATAACGTACGTGTGCGATAAATGCATAACAATATATCCACGGCTGTGCGTGAATTTCCACGTCACGTAAGAAAAGGTACTCTTTTATTGGACCTAATTTTTTTTTATTGCTTTCACAGTTTTTCCCCGTGGGTTTGTAGATTTTTCCAATTCTTATCGTTTCCCTCTTTATCATATATCCGAATTTTATACATTTTTATTGTTTAAGCGACTGATGTACATTTACTAATGTACGATTGAAATACATTTTCGCGCAAATCGCGTGGCATTATTATGCAAGAGCGCGTTGAATGATATTCGTCCGCGACTGATAAAATGTTTCAGCTACAATCAAAGTCGTCAGAGAATGATTGACGGGATTTAAATCCCTGTAACATCTTTACTTGGCCGAATTCATGCGGCTTTCTGTTTCTTTCCAGTTGTAACTATACTAATGCTTGCATAATCGCTCATTATGAAATGTAAAAATATATAGATCTTCTTGTATCCGCCCCCCCCCTAGTGCTTTATTAATATTTATTTATGAGATATCCAGTCTGAGGTTTGCGACTTGACTGCATCACTAATGTCACCACTCAGCATGAAAAACAAACGCTAAATGCGACCGACCACAGTTCAGAAATTTTATCGGTTTGACATTAAAATCACATCAAATGTAATCATGCAAATATGGAGGAGCTGATACACGAGTTGAGCAAAAATTTCTTAGTCTGTGCCAACGCTATCTGTGATTAATAAATTATTGATACTCTACGCAAGTAGTAGTTGAGATTATGCCGGAAATGATCGAGTGGATGAGCGTCGATGGTTTAAAACGAAACGTTATTTCAGCACAAGCTCGTCAATAAATTGTGTTTTGCATTTATAACTAAAAAAAGAGAGATCTCATCGTCAAAATATCTTTGGAGGAAAAGAAAGCAACTCGTTTATCTCTCGTATCTATATTATATATTTACTAGCGATAATTCCATAAAACGGAGATATACAGCAGATATCGATATTTTCCGGATATTTATAATTATTGACAATAATTAATTGTCCTATGTAAAGATATTTTATATGAAAGCTATCATGAAAATTACGCAATCAATGTTGTTGTTGTTGTGAGATCGAAGTGAGAACGTGACGATAAAAGAAAAAAGAGATAATTAAGAAGAATAAATATTTTCTTATACAATATTTTTATATTTTGCACAAAGATATTGTAACATTTTTCAGTGTTATTTATATACCTATATATCAATGGAGAGATATTTTATACACATTACGTCGTAAGGCACTATTGTCCTCTGGTTAAGATTCATGCTTCCATCAGGACAATTGTGCGAGACAAGTATTCCTTTTTTAAAGAAAGCCGCTCCCTCAAAGTTGCAACTTGCGGAAGTTCGCCTCGCGGTTTGCCGACGGTAAACGCATGCGTTTTTGCAAAGCACGATATATCACGTGAACTATATCATCGAGCGTTGTAATCATTTCATTAATCAGCAATCGATTTTTATTTTGTCTCGTAATGTAAACACAGAAAGTTGCTCTTCCACCATAGTGCTAATGCATTAAGAATGGGTACTTTGTCTGATGAGGAGAAGTAGAAACTCGGATATCGATTGGATTCCTAAAAAGACACGGTACAAGGCTGGAATTAGGTTCAGGTCAAAGTATAGTCTACTGAAGCGATCTTTTAGACGTAGAAAAAAGGTGGTCTTCGGTGTGTCCCGCGAAATTGCAGCGCCAGATGGACGAAAATGACGGTGTCCCACATTACCCGCCTCTGTCCAACATTTCTCGCCCTTATCCTCGCTCTATACCCGTTGCTCCGAAGAAACCAGCCCGTATTCCCCAGCCCCGCAGATTTACGTAGTCTGATAAAGAGAGAAGTATTCGCAAATAAATTCACGTCGGAAGAATAGTAACGCGTTTGTAAAGATGAAGGAGAACGGTTGCGCTGCGACTGAGCGACGTCTTCTCCGTTTGTTTCACTCCGTTTGTTTGTGACTCACACAGTCACGTGCAACTGTTTTCGCTTACCCTCCCAGCTTGAACTTTTACCGATTCGTTCTCGTGTCACAAAATTTTCACATCTCCCTCCTTCTCTATCCGCCCGATTTTCTTTGTACAACACGTAAACATCCTCGTTTGTAGCTTTGTTTAATTTCGATTCTTTGTCGCTCGTCGGTCCGTAATAGTTTCACAGGAATTCGTACATGCCAAATTACAACAAAATTTCGTCGCGTCGACTCGTCCTTTATAACATGCTCATTTTAATCTCGTTATAACTTTAATTCCGTTATTGGATAAAATCGATTGAATATTATAATGACAAATGTAGATTAGGTTGAGTGAATGTCCTACTTAATTAAAAAAAAAAAAAAAAAAAAAATCAGTCCAAATACTTATTCACGAAGTACAAATTTTTCAATTAGATTATATACTCAGCGAGATAAAGACGAATGACACCGGAAGATTAGCATAACTGATTGTTAGCGCAACTGATGGATTGTTTACAACTATATTAGTGTCGTGCAACAACATTTCCCGCAAATATTCTCCCTCACCTATACATGATACTGTTATCGGTACCGCATCGTCGATCTCATTCAAACGTCGACTTGTTTCCCACTTACGTAATCCACTCTTGAATCTTCGTAGTAGCTCGGATTATTTTATCAACTTCGCCCCCGAGAAACTTAACGCATTGTCTCGGGCGTTAAATTTCTTGACTCTCGCTTCTGAAAATCTTTCGCAGGCGCGTTAACTCGCGATATATATTACTGTGTCTAACTCTTTGACCGTCCTCGAGGGACTTAGGCCCCCAGACTGGATAAATCTATCTCATCTATTTATCTCTCTCTCTTTCGCTCCAACCTTGTCCTTTACTATTCTTACGCGCCATGTTGCTCCATTGTTTCACGATATTTAAAATCTACCGTAAAAAGAAACTGTCCAAACCAACCTTTTCATCGAGACAATCGTCCGTTCCCGTAGAGTTTGTTTTCTAAGGGCTCGAGATTCACAAAAGATTCATTCAGAAATAGTTAGGTATCTGTATCTTATCGGCACTCGAAACGGTCCATTGTAAAATCTAAGCGAGGAACGACCGAGAGAGACTTGGCTGACTCCGCTTCTTTGCGACATCACCGCTCACTAGGCCGGGTCTAAATAAATTGTTTCGCGCAGCTGTTGGACGGAGCTCGTTTCGCTGATACTTGCAGGCCAGCGGAACTTTGACGAGCCGCGAATTGTCGACGTTCACCAAGTAGATGTAAAATTACATTACATTTATCACGAGTGAAATTCGAAGGCGAACCCAGCGATTCGGGTTAATCTTTGCGAATTTATTTTTGAAACGGCACTAGTTTCGAAGTATTACAAATCTCGAAAGAATCGGAATGTTTTAATAAATAGTAAAACGGTGTGAATTTCCAAAGGTGCGTGTCGCCACTTTCAAGACGAAGGGGCTAATGAGCGAGGCAATATCAACTATAAGTGTGAAGTAGTAGTCGCTATCGATCGTCGCCGACGACGGAGAAAGTACATTTACGGCTGTCTTCGTATATCCTAAGAGGAGCATAATCTTTTTTAATCATCCTAGCTGTATATGGGAGGGAAACCCGAAAATGAAGATAATTGTGGCGAAACGCATATAATTACGCGCGTATCAGATCCGGCAAAATGATCCTAACCGCAGATTTTCCTTTGTACGTAACAATTCGCTCGACAATTTCCCAAGCTATTTTCCCCTGAAAAGTTTCGCGATAATAATAGCACGTCCCGCAAGGTGTAAGGAATATTCTTCAGAAAAGCCTAGAGATGAAGACTGATGAAAGCTATCCGCAGTTATCGCGTTCAGTGCACGCCATTGTTCACTGACGATCAACTAATTATTATTAACAGCCTACGTACATTCTACAGTTCGTGCATTATTTTGACAAATCCTAAACTAGAGGACCTATCTCAAAACTCAAACTGGGATTCAGATCAGAGCACGATCGTCATGCGGAAACCCGGGCAAACGCGGCCCGTCGGAAATCTCACTCTTACCTGCGATTAAGCAGAACTCCACTGTGACGACTAGTCGAACGCGTCCGGCAGTAGGCAGCAGCGTTTCGTCATCCTGACGCGACGGGAAGAGGAGTCCTTTTTCCAAGTATCCAATTCACAGGCACATCGCGGAAGCGTCGTCGTGCGGACGTTTCTTTCCCCGACGTTTCTGTTCCAGCGCCGGATTAGAACCTTCACGCGAACCTCGGGGGGGTTTTTATCACTCCGGGCTTCACCACACTCGACGAACGGAAGCGCGAGCGCGCGTAGAGAGAGAGACCAGTGTACGCGGGGGTTGGGAAAGGGGTTGATTCTCCTCGATACACGGAGAAGAGAATCAACGAACCGACAGCCGTCTTCCCTTCGCGGAAGCACGGAAGGTGTTTCGCAAAGCTACATTTCGCACCAGCCACCCGTCCGCCCCAAGAGTCCGCCTGTCGCGCGCGACGATCTACATGGATTCGCCCCAGCGACTTCGCATCTCGTCACCGGACGACGACGTTGGAGTATCACTCCGACATAGGTCGACCAGGGCGCTCCGAAAAACGGGCTGCGATTCCACGGAGCGTGGCCTGTCAGTCGTTTGCCGTCGCTGCTTCGGGCATATCTCCCTTTAATACAGGCGCCGCGCGCCGGCCGGGCGTAGCTTAAAGTCGCTCGCTTCACCCGAGCGGATCTTTCGAGAAAAACGTTCCGAAGGAGTGACGCCGCGAACAGTACTGCACTGTCGTAACAACAGGTTTCACGTCTCCCGCTCCGAAATTACCGGAGCAATCGAACGATAATTCCCCTTTAGCGGCCGCGCGCGGTTCGAGCGTCCAGGATTGGATTTCGAACGATCACCAAGCACCGCGAACCCGATCGCGTACACCGAACGAGTACCCGGGAAAACGGGACGGGACAGACGTTCGAATGTTCGGCCGGAGGTGCCGAATCGCACTTCCGGCAATCTCGCGAAATTTATAGCCGCGACACAAAAGCGGTGTAACGTCCGCACCGCTGAACGACCGAATTGTGACTGCGGACTATGGGCCTGGCAGGCCGTGGCCCCGCCGCGGGTTTGCCCAGAATGGGGCAAACGCGCCCCGCCCCGTCCGCGAAGCCACGCCCATTAGCCGCGCGAGTCCACGCCTCCATCCCCGAAGGTCGGCGCCTCCTCCTTCCGCGGACTCGCCTGCCGTCTTCGATTGCGACCTACGGCGATGTCAGATTGAAATTTCATTGGCGTAATTAATTATACGAAAATTTCTCGCCAATAACGAGAGGGGGGAAATGGAATCAGCGAATTCGCTGATAATTGCAATGTTTTTGTGGAAGCTTTTAATTTCCACGATCAATTGGGAAATAATTGCATTCTTCTCGAACGGACTACTTTACGATTGATAGATAATTGATTCCTATGATAATACTAGCAGCTAGCAGCTATTAACAGTGTAATAACAAAATTACACCTAGCCAATCAGATGCGTACTCCTCTAACGTGAAGTATACGTCATTAAAGAAAGTACCAATATCTTATTTAAAAAGAAGCTCCTTCGATTCTACAAATACGATTACGCATCCAAAATATGACATATATCCAAGATGATTCATACTAGAGATCCTACAATAAGAGACTGGCTATAAGGCCAGTTTTGTTAAAAGTCTGCGAGAGAGAAGGATATTTATATCGCTTTCTCTTTCTCTCTTATATCTCTTTCTCTTTCTGTTTCTCTTGCTTTTGACAAAACTGGCGGACCAATCAAAACTGTGGCTGTCTTATATAGCCAGTCTCTTATTATATATGTAGGGTATTTAATTCATACCATTACTAGTTATCGCCTTACATTGATACATATTTTATTTGACTCATAATTATTCATTAATCGAATTTAATTCTTATTTATATCTTTCACCCACGCACCTACAGATTTACAAAACGAGCTCGTAGAAGCACACTTCGTTAAAATACTGCCGTATGTGTCAGCTTGACAAATTTTACATTCCAATCTTTGTTAGGCTATTATTGCTATCTATGACGCAATAATAGAGTGTCAGGAGTGAAAGAAAATATCAAATATTTTGATTTTTGTGATTTTATGAATAAAAAAAATTTATAAAAAAATGTCTAATTAATCTGCCGGAAGTAATTACGGTTAAATATTCTTTGTATTTTATAATATAAGTCGGTTTTCCGTGTTTCTATTTTAAGGAAACAAAATCTCTGTACCAGAGCCAACATATAATGAATACATTTAAATCAAGAGATACTATTAAACCCCATTAAATTAGTAAAATTGTAAACTAAATTAAAATATCTAACAAATTAAAATATTTAAAATATTGAAAAAATTTTATAATTTGTCGAAAATTTAGTACAGATTAATTTTTATTGTATACATAAGATATATATCTTTGTTCTATCACGTAACATTTTCTATAGATTGTACAGAACAGTACGTTTTGTACAAACTTCGATTTTGCGTTTTTTACATCGCAACTTTACATTTACAGCCATCATGCGAGAATCTCGCACGGTATAAGCAAGGTATCACGAAGCATTTCTTCGAATCATTCACAACGCATTAATAACAATCCTCGAATCGTTCATAAATTCGTCAGTAACAATGTAGCAAACGACGGCGGTCGTTTTACAAATTTGTATCCGGGCGGCAATACGGCCCGACCTAATCTAACCTGACCCGACGCGGATCTGGTTCTACGACTCATTTCATCCGTCAATTCTTATCCCTAACGAGACAACGTTTCTGGCAGACAACGGTCGGGCCTAGCGTTGCCCGTTGTCGCAGCGAGACCCCCAAGGGCTCATGGGGTTACCGCGCGTAAAGAACGACGCGAAAGAACGATCATCCGATTACGCGCGGATGTCGCGTGCGCGTCAGCATGGCGCCTCTACCCGCGAACGGGGCCGCTGAGGCGGCTCGCCCGTCGTCGGGTTATTCCCCCCTCCCCCTCCTCTCGACCCCCCACCACCCCCACCTTTTCGCGCGCGCCACGCCTCGATATCGAGGCCGATCCGCGGGCTTTTTGCGTGCACGTCCGCATGCACACCGACGTGCCGAATGCCCCGCCCCGCGAGCGCGCGATTAAACGCCATGACGCGTGCGCCTCCACTCGCGGGACTGTATGACGCGCGTTCGAATTACCGCCGCCATACTTTTCCAATGGAAAGCACGGCTTCTCCGGGACGCGGTCGCGGCGGCTAGCCGCGCCACGGCGTCGGCTATTCTCTCGTTTCTAATTCCTCGCCCGCCGTTTTCCGTGCAGCCGGACGAAAGATCGGCGATGCCGGTCACGATATCCATGCACGTCGAATCTGGGAAGCGATCGGTAATGCTCGTTGTAATGCGAATATCCGACGAACATTCTTGACCGCATCGTCTCTTAGATATTCTCTCTGCGATGTCTCAACTTAATCGAACAATACTTGAGGTTTATTCGATATTTCTAATATGTATGTTTAAGGAAATTAAGATTAAAAAATGTTGAGATCTCTGTTTATTAAGAATTTCGAATTGTCAGATCGTTGAACACTTTTTTGTGTATGCAATTTCACAAATTTGGGAATCCTCAGATGTTTTAATCTTAGGTGTTCTGATATTGCTCGGGCTGTAAGAATAATTCCTCACCTTGAATTTCAATATATTTCATTGAATCGATAATATTAATATTAATATACAAGCAATATACTTTTTTGTGTCATAATTTAATATAACTGTAACTTTATTTCAAGTAGAGTTAAAAAAATTAGCTCTCATTTCCAGGGTAATTTCAAGAGCGTCACCAGCAGAGTCCTCTGTCGCTTTATTCGAAAATTTCATGGAAAAAATTATCGATGTAAGAAAACCATGCTTGGGAAGGTATTAAACATTTGTCCTAAGAATAATAAGTATTGAATTATTATCGAAACTAATTCTACAAATTGAATGCGCAATTATACAAGATATATAAATAAGAATATCGCGATAGAACACATGATCTCGACAAAAGATGTATGTAATAATATATCATGCTCGTATTCACTCGTAACAATAGAAAACACGACGATGGACGGTATATTTTTAGGATCTAATAAATTACAAAGAAAATAAAAATTATATGATAAAAATATATCGGTTTTATTTTTTAATTCGGCAATTTATAACATGGTATTAAGAATAATAAAAAATAAATTTGCCGAAACCCGGGATTGAACCGGGGACATTTAGATCTTCAGTCTAACGCTCTCCCAACTGAGCTATTTCGGCTCACACGGATGATCGTTTCGTTCCACTTTAGTTGGGACGTCGCATGCCAACACGTATATAATCATCATGCACCGTTCGGGTGAATCGTGATTGATCTTTGTTCAGTCTCGTCTCTATACCTGGACACGTCACAAATACCGTGACCAGCTAGCAGCTGTTGACGCGAACAAACATCCATACGAACATTTGGTGTCGTGCAGTTCGAGATAAAGGATGCATCGAGCTATAATTAATTGTAATCAGGTGCAGACCGAGGTGATATCGGAAGGCCGTTGGATAGAGGAGGATCCGCTACCGCATTCCAGCAAGCAGGTAGTCCTCGTCATTCCCGGGAATCCGGGTATTCCACGATTCTACGAGGGCTTCGTCAAGGAGCTCAACTCGAAATTAACGTCGGACACCCCTGTTTGGGTCATCGGACACGCTGGACATGTTCAACCACCGGAGAACCTGGACATCGCTATGCCCGGCGACGAGAAGTGGGCAGAGTGCTACGGTCTGACGGCGCAGATTCAACACAAGGTATTCGAGGTCTTCAAACACTTCTTATTGATCTCCTGATCTCTCAATAATATGGCACGGCTATAATTCTATGTTGGCAGGCTGAATTCATAAGACGATATATTCCAGAGGATGCGCATTTGCATCTCGTTGGACATTCCATAGGTGCTTGGTTGGTACTCAATTTGCTCAAGAACGATGACATTGAAAGAAGGATACGGAGATGCTATCTGTTGTTTCCCACGATAGAGTATATGGCAGAGACCCGTAATGGAAGGTTTTTCAACAATTTTGTACGTTTTGGCATGTTATATATTTGTCGTATCTATGAAACATTATGAGTATCGTAATTATTTCCCACATGGTTTTAATAATTATATTTTTCTTTTCAGATATCACGCGCAGCACCAATTTGGATTTGCCTGTCTTGGATCTTCACAACAATATTTCCAGTAGCTCTACAAACATTTATGATACGTATTTTCGGTATGATGTTTTGTGGTATTCCACCAAAATCTATCAGAGCGGTTCGAGAAATGCTGGATCCAAGAGTTTTGCGTAGAATAATCAATCTTGCCAATGAAGAGATGAAATACGTGAAAGAAGCTGATCACGAGACTATATCGAAACATGCTGCTAAACTTTGGCTTTATTACGGTGCAAAGGACGGTTGGGCTCCGGTGAAATATTACAGAAATATTGTATCAAAGCATCCTGATCTGAATGCTCAAGTATGTCAGCGTGGCTTTCGTCATTCGTTTGTGTTGAATGATGACGTGGACATGGGACGTATCATCGCCGATCTCATTAACGAAGATTCGAAACACTGAATTTTAGTATAATTTAGTTATATATTTGCATTATTTCTCACATTTCTAACTAAAATTTTTTTTATACTTTTGTATATGGGTTTATATTGTTTTATTACTGTATTTTATATTATATATTTATTATTGTTGTTATACTGAGTTTGGTTTCTGGATTGGAGCCGCGTGAATTGACTATTTGATTCTCGACTAGAGATTCTCAAGTAAGGGTCTCTAATTCCGACGTTTTGTGAACATTTCAGTTCACTTCATCAGAGAGAAGCAGCCATGCGTATTCGTTCGGAATCAAACAGACAAGTCATATGAGATTCCAATCCGGAAACCAAACTCAATATTATTATATTATTAGTTAGTATTTTATTAGTTATTTTATTATATTATATGTATTATTATGTTATATGTATATTATGGTATTATACATATATTATGGTATTATTTTTTATATATTATTAATTTTACAGAAATGCCATCGATCATTTCTCTATGATCAAGTGTAACATGTGAATAAAAATGATACAATGAGGACAATTTTTATATATTAAAATTAAAATGTAATTTTATGCCTAATTGTGTGTTACAAAGGTTTAATTACCATCGAGTTAAAATTTAATTAGATTTAAAACAGCGGCGACGGTATTTTTGTTCATTTCGTATTTGCGAGCTCGGTTCTATTTTCATTTTTGGCGCCACTTAACATCAGCGATATAACTAGACGAACTTACATCTGGGACATTCAGCCATCAAGTTTGCCTCCCTAGAATTTATAAGATGCTTTATATGTATACATATAATCAACATTTTTATTCTTCGTGTAATGCGCAAATTATATTTGTCATTCAGTTTATAACTCAACTTTTAAGTATCTAAAAATATTGTTCAAAAAGAACAACACATACAGTCTTTTAAAAATTCGCAAAATGACGCAACCACTGTTCGACCAATCAGATATTACTTGCGAATAACGCAACTTCTGGATCTACCTATCAGATTCCTCTCTCGATCTTCGCGATTTTCGAGTACAGCCAATGCGGCGTGTTCGTGCCCTCCTCCCCCCCTTACGTTCTCGGACGCGTCGAATGGGTTAAAGCCACTTCTAGAGTTCTCACGTCCATTTCGCGTCAGACGATATCGCAACGGCGGGACGCATCGTGCAAGCAACCCAGCAGCGTGCAATCGGCAGGTAGTTGCCCGAGACCCGGCCCGAAATTCGTCGTTAGACTGGTACCGTTTGTCGTGACCAACCACCGAGCGTCGTCTGCAGATTCGTCGAGTGAAACGCAGCATCAAAATGTCACGTCTCACGGTAGCGTTGCTGCTGATTTCCCTTCACGCGGCGTCCGTTTACGGTAAGGAAAAAACGAGATCATCCGGCGGAACAATCACAATCGAGTGCGCGATTTTGTTAGGGGGAGTGGCGCGCGCGTACGTGTGTGTGTGCGTGTATATGTACACACAGCTAGGGTCGTTACGCCGCGATTTTAGACGCTTATCGCGGTCATATATGGGAGGGATGATTAATAACACCCCGCATATAATCGAAGATTCGCTCTTGGTTGCGCAACGCAACTAACGTTTTCTTTATAAAATAATGGGTGCTCGAATAATCGATAATTGTTGGTCTTATCTGATTCTCCGGACATTAAGCGACATTAAGAGATGCGATATCACGGTGTGTTTACCAATTTCCTGAGAGTGTTTCTCGTTTCTTTTTTGTTCTCGTTTCTATCACAGTGGTAATAGCTTGTTTCCATTGAAACTGAAGCGGAAAATTTATTTTACGCAGCGCGATCGAACAAGAGATTTGGCGCTTTTTCTTGACTGACTAACTGGATGTATCGCAACTTCGACCAAACTGCGGTTGGTCGGCTTAATCGGCAATTAATTCAGTCGGCAGAACCGCATAATTAGTCATTCATTAGTCACTGTTCTAATCTTTTTTCCATGTATTAAATAAAAAGTTAATTTTACCCAAAATACAGATATTGCTTAATTAAGTTAAGCATTGATTAAATTTCGTTAAGCATTGATTAAACTTCATTCAACACCTCGAACCCAGCACCTTAGAGAGGAAGAATTTCACGTCAAAATTGCAAGGCTTTGTTCCATTCATAATTTTATAGTGTGTTAAATCAGACGAATTGTATTCTTATATACTTAATATAATTCGCTAATTGATACATTATGCCCTGCCCAAAATAGAGCACTTATTAGGAATAAGAACAAATATTAACCCTAGCTCCGCCACAGTCCGATTCAGCGGACCGCTGAACGTTTTACGATTTTCTAGTTTTCACATAATAACATAATTTTCTACTTTCCTTATAATAAGTTCAGTTTAAATTCAAATGGTTTTCTTGGCCTGATATTATCATAAACGTCTTTTTCAGAGTCTGTATTACCAATTTCTACATCGGTACAAGCTTAAAAATATTAATTAGAATGAAAATGACAATTACTACGTTTACGCGAGCGTTACTTTTGTAGTAACCTACGACAATTCACTCGTTTACGCGGAGTAAATTATTGCAAGTTACTACAAAATCCTGTTTACGCGAAGGAAAATTCCATTTACGTTAACATCATTACGTGCTTTGCGCAGCTTTTCCATGGTATATTATATCTGCGCAAGGCACGTAACGAATGTCGTTAATGTTTACAGAATAGGCCCCTTAAAAACACCTATTATAGACCGGGACATAAGGACTCGAAAATAAGTGTGGCTAGCTAGAATTAAATAGTAGGATATATAAATATAGGAATATTCTTGTAATAAATATTAAATATTAGGATATGTAAATGTAGGAATATTCCTATATTTATATCTTATTTTTTTCTATTGTGCGTTACGTTTAATTGTTATTTCTAATTCCGGTTCTTAATAATATTTATTCTTCAATATTTATTTTTATTCCTAATATGTGCTTTATTGTGCGCAGAGCCTTAAAGTAAAATATACTATAAATATGCTACGAATGCTATGAAGATTAGCTTACGAAAGTACCAAGTTATCATTAATCTGAGACAAGGTTGCGTCCGTATCTTATTCGTTTTCACAAGTCTAGCGAAATCGGATATCTCGCAAATGCTATGCGTTAATAGTTCTTCAAATTGATAAAACAACGAATTCTCTTGGTCATTCATTAATTTGGCAAATGGAATCAAAATTTGTTAGGATTTCTGTGGATAAACGAAACACGATTGTCAATTACGCGTAGTTTTGTTTTCCTTCTTTTTACTAAATCTACTTTACTATACGTGTTTTTTTTTTTAGATATATAATTTATATATCTTATTTTTGAAGCGATTTCGTTATTTTTCTTTGTGTTTCAAAAATATGTATAGTATTATCTTATATGTAATGTCGCTATGCTGAAGATAGAAATAATCTCTCTATTTATTAGGAGGATTCCAGGAAAGTAGAGATAAAATAGGTCCAAGTTGACTCATGTAAGCGACAAACGTTTCCTGTAGGCAGATTTCTGATAGCGCGTCGCGATAGGAAACGCTGCTTCTTAATTTAGCACAGTCTGATTTTCACATTAGTTATCTCGGCTTCTTGCCGATCTATTGCCTGGCAATTGACTATATTTACAGCGCCGATCGGAACGTTACGTCGTGTGCAGATTATCAATTTGAAGTAATGTCGATCGATTAGCGTGTCATAGCCCGATCGGTCTTTTGTTTTTTCCCTCGTGATAAGAGCTATCAAGTATCAACTGTGGACTGTAACATGGACAAGTAATAGCAGTAATTAATTAGACTAAATGCATTGGTTGGACCATTGTTGGTTTAGGTTTAGACAGATGATTCTCTTGGTCCTTTTTCACGCTCTCATATTTTCTACGTGCTTGTGTGTACGTATATATGTACAACATAGCGATCGATTACGTTTGGATACGCGGAATCCAATAATGCTATCACGAGTTAACTCCTCTTCATTAAAAATATTCGTATGAAAATATAGAAAATAGAGAATAATAAAAACTACATCGGCGACATTAGGTTTTTTTAATATATTCTTTATGCATACTTTATCTATTTTTATTTATAATTTGGATTTTATTAATTTCTACCGTCTTTTGTTTCGTATCACTGATCGATAGACGAAGAAGCTTATTGTCAAATGCAGAAAAATGTTGAAATCTACGAGGCAGTAAAAAATTGAGTCCCCCCTGGCAAAATAACTTCTTGAATCGCCGGCTTGAGCTTCCCTTTTTTCTAGGAATGAAATGACGTCATGGTAGACGTGCATCTAATCTCTCTCATTATATTACAGTTTACACATACTGCAATGGTAATATGAACCGTAAATCGTGGCCGTACGTTCCTAAGCTATTGCGTCGGCGAGTTTAAGAGTTATATAGGAGTGCTTTGAACTATAATTCTCGCAGCTAAATATTCCTACAATTAAGCATCAAATAAATAGAACATAATTATTTGTTATCGTCAAGATAAGATTAAGATGGTGTTGCATTGAAATCTGGAATTGTTTGGGAAATATTTCACCGGCTAGCAATTCAGTTCGCTTTTATTTTTTTAACAGCTAGTATTTAAGATGTTTTTAGTGCGCCGAATATTTTAGAGCTTGCTTAATTTTTAGGAATGGAATGTACCTTTGAAAGCAACAAGAATTTCTTGGAGAAAATTTTGACTACCTGTCCAAGACCATTGATAGATCCATCCGAGAATTCCTACTGCTGCTTCGACCTGTCTACCGAGAAGCCCTATTGTTGCAATGCCGCGGAGTTTGCGAGGACTGGGTAAAATATCATAATCGCTCGTAGCATACGCGCAGTGTTCAAAATAAATTGTATTTAATATGTTAATTCTAAATGGCTCACGATCTTTTATTTATTTTATATTATTCACGGGTGTCAAAATAACATGGCAAATAATAAAATTATTTGAGAAAATAATTTGCATAACGGAAGATAATACACACGATATTTTTCTATCATTTTCTTCATGTATATATTATTACTTCACAGGCTTGGTATCATCTTGCCGGTGGTGATCGCAGCAGCTATAGTTATCGGGCTAATAGTGTGCTGTATATCCTGTCTCTGCTGCACCAGCTGCCCGTGGTATCGCCGTCGTCAAGGCACTGTCTACGGAAGTATGTCTTCTCTCTCTTAAATTTCGTGCATTAATATTGAATTACCATACACAATTTTCCCAATATTAAATTCATCATATTTTAAACATCTCCATTATACATGAAACATGAAACAAATATACATTGATGAATATCAATAAATATTCTGTGTCAGAGACAGCGGCAAAATTATCTTTGCAGAAGCATTCTTTTAAAATATTTATAATTACAAACGCTTTTGCACGATAAAAACAATCACAAACATCAGTTAAATTATTTAATAAAATTTAGTATAGGTATCGATGAATTCTGAATTGGCTAGTAACAGAGTCGTCATTCTTTCTAGGACCAGGCGTGGCATAATACCATTCTGAAAGACCATTCCTCCTACGAAGAGTATTTGTATGTCAATGTTTAAAACATTTTTAACGATTATTGGTATCCTGCTTCCTATATGTAATCTGAAATTAAGTTAATTCCCATAAGGAACGTGTACTTATATATTTTACTATATATACCAAAAGTGCATTTTCTCCTTATAAGAATATCTGCATTACATCGATATTTTTTTCTTTTCAGTATTATATTGACGACATTATTATATTGAGAGCATTTTTATAAGAGGTCTAACAAGGAAATTATGTTTTATAAAACTTCCCACACATGTAGGGGGAGTAAAAAGATGAATTAATAAGTACCCGAATTGCTATATTCTTATAAGGAGAATCTACTCTCTTAGATATAAGATAACTTTGCACAGTGGAAACCGAGTTTGAGATACATGTACGATAATACAGATATAAACAGCGTTTCATATCAAAGATTTTATATATATATCGCATTTTGATATTTTTGTTACAGCCATGCTTCGTATAGCATTAAGCGTATTTAAAGATGTACATATGAAATGTTCCACTTCATATGTGATAAAAATATGATATATAATATTTATTTTATTTATTATACATTATTATTTTTTTATATTGAGAGCAATGTCCATGAGAAAGATATGATATTAATAATGATATCATCACTAAGCATATATAAATTTAGATGGAACATTTTGTGTGTCATTGTCTTCGGCCTTTTTTCAATTGATGCATTTACATCTTCCAAATACACTACATGAAATGTGTTCAAATAAACATTCCTTCCACTTGTGCATATATAACTAACATTAAACTTAGCAACATTAGATTCGCTTAATACGTACAAAATCGTTAATCAAATATAACCAGCATGCAGGTCATGTATCTCATTTATAAGACGTTTAAAAAATATATAAATTTTTTTCATAAAATGTTAGACATTATTTGACATAACCCGATTTCATCACCAATACATCACAATTCATCATTTTAGTTTAATTGATTAATAAGATATAATAGGACACATCTCTCTAAAGACAATTTCGATTAATTAAATTCTGCCTTTTTGTTACTTAAGGTCTGCTTAAGAAACTCTATTGAGTTATTACATCTCATTTTTGTTCTGATTTCGTTAATTTTATTCTTAATGCTAATTTGCTCGCTGTCTCTGAGACAAATTTAAGATACACTTGAGATCCTTTTGTACCTGTTACACGAGTATTTGTTACAGAAGTTCAGGCACCTGTTGTGCAAGTAATTCAGCCCCAGGCAACTATTCCACCCAGCTACAGCCAACCTGCTCAAAACTATGTTCCATACCCAATGGGCTCGACAGGTACTTGATCAAAATTTCTTGGGTTCACATTCAATCACTGAACGTCTGACGCGTAGTTATCATGAATATATATAAAAGAATATTTTAATTTCTTAGATATTTTAGTTGATTCTTTTTATAAGTCTTTTGTTGAGTTTTAATGTTATTTAACGTCAAAGACACGAAAGAGAAGTGCACGATAAGCCCTTTATTCTTGTTTGGATCATTTCTTTTTCTTATTATTTTTAGGGATGCCGCAACCCCCACCGTACAACGAGGCGTATGCTAAACAGGCTCCGTACAATCCTGCTTATCCATCGCAGCAGTGATCTTCCCAGTTATTATAGTTGCCATAATTAATAGTTATCGATGAACGGTTTACGAGGTTCTTTTCTACCGTACGAGCGATCCTCGAATTTCAACAAAAGTCAATACAGCAAAGAATACGTTGTGTTCATGTAATATCGCACCACGATTGTGATTTATGCTTGTACGTATATGCGTGGGCGATTTACCACCAGGCCATAGACACTCTCGCGCAAATTTTTACTGTTTACAGGTTACAGTTACGTTTTTCTTACTCAATAGATTGTCCGACAAAAGTGCTTGATACTTTTATCATACTTTTACATGTTTGTTAGAAATATATTCTCAAAAAATAGTTTATAAATCCATTTTACGAAAACGGATAGAACAAGTTTCATGAAATACTCTCGATAAAATATAAATTTAACAAGGAAAAGAAGAAATATATTATTAAGCTATTAAACTTTGTATAGCACTAAAATACTCTAGACCCTAGAGGAAAGATCTAATATTGTAAATAAAAATGATGTCCCACACGAGCTTCAGCAGATTAAGAATCCTGTATATTTATCGCAATGATATATTGAATTATGAAATGATATTTTTCGTTTGAAAGGTATAAGAAGGAAAATTTCTGTACGATATAATACTAATCGTATATCGTCAAACGCGGATGGTGACACATGACAAAATGTATTTTGATACGTAATATAAAAAAAAAGTTTCAAGATTTCCGTTTCAGATCTTAATTAAATACTACGATGAGAGAAGAGGAATCTTAGAATCTGGAGGAAGAAAATTCTTTTCTATCTCATATTGATATGTCTCTCTAGAGATAAAAATGCTTATCTTACAATTAGTCATAAAAAATTACATCATCTGTGTTTGTTAGTCAATATATAATCGAAGATTGTGATGTAGGATTATAGGGAGATTTTGAACAACGTGGTACAACAGCGTGACTCATTTGATTCTCAGTGAAAATCGCGTTATTATTCTCAATATTTTTGATATACAATAATAATCGTTATTAATTAATTAGGTACAGGAACACTTTAACGTTCGTGATATTAATCGATAATGATCAATAACGTACAATTGAAAAATTGTCATCGATCGCACACGTCGTCGTTCAGTATTGATTTGCGGAGACACGATCAAATTTTCAAATAAACGGTACGCATATTATTCCGATTTTTCTTTTTTATCGATTTTCCCACGGGGATCACGCGTAGGAAGCGAGTTCCGGCACAAATTATAAAGTCGAATCATCGATCGAAGGCCATCCGGCATTTTTCGCAATTCATCGATCGAGGGCCATCCGGCATTTTTCGCAATTCATTGTACAATGTAATAATTGTGTGTTCTAATTTAATCCCTTCAGTTTCGAGCTTTATTCTTTTTTTCCATTGATAAAAGAGCTCTCATTTTTATACATCTTTTTCTTCCAAATCGAAAGACGAAAGATTACATTCTTACAGCTACTGCGATCTTTATACAATCGAACATTTTAACGTGAGACGTTAAAGTCCTCACAATTTCACACGTGAAACACAGATAAAATTTGAATAATTCAGACTTCTACAACTGAAAGAGTTAAATAAAATACGACAATCGGTTTCGATGAACGAGTTTAAAAAAACTAAACTCGCCGATAAATCGACATAGATACAATTTTGGGATTCAATATCGGACACAAGTTTTTCCTATCAGGATTGGGCCCCTGTACACTTTGCAATTTATAAATATCTCTTAACCATCTCTCTTAGACTTATTTCGACCTTACTGCGCTAAAAAGGCACATATTTCCGCACCTGATACAAACGTTATTACAATCTAAACGCTAATGATCTTCCTTTCTTCTTTTCTCCACCGATGTTTGCCGTCCCGATGCCAACTGCGCGTTGACACGTACTACGAATATCGCCCCGTGTATTAGGCTACGCTCGGTGAACTTCATTTCACAATATCGAATGGGTGACGGTAATGCAACGGTGACGGTAGTGGCACAACGGGAAAAAAAACATGATTCGCAATTTCTTTTCAATGTATCGCGCGTACGTAAAGACACATTACATATATTATATACGAGGCAACGTCTCGTATTTACATGAAATATATGTAATATATTTCATACGCGATATATTAGATGCTAGTTTGTAATAATTATCCTTTCCTATGTAAGTCTAGTGCCTACGCGGACCTTGCTAAGGCGATCAACTACGCGGATCCTTTGTACAGTCGTGTGGGGAACTATGGGAAGTCTTCGAGAGGAAGAAATTGTTTAGTCGGTCACAATGTATTCGGTATATCGATGTGTGTTGCCGTTCTCGCCCAAACTATCCCGTGAAAGTGTGGTATCGCGCCAGGCGAAATTATAAACAATAATCGCATCTGGCAAAACCCGTACCGACAAAACGCATAGCAATGTCATCAAAATCGCTACATAGTAATTATGTATGTACAATAGAGCGCTGTGTCGCGCGATCTGTCCGTCGCACAAAATTCGTTGACAAAGTAATTTTATCACCAAAAAAAAAACGAACATCTTTTCTTTCTCTCTTTCTCTATTCTGAATAAATGTGAAAGTATAAATATGATGAAAAATGAAAAGTAGGAAATGAAAAGAGTACGGCTCTAATTCCACTCTGGTCTGATCTCCGCTCAAATGGTTTTTTAATTCAAGTTATTGTCTACCTTATCAGTGAGGCTAGAAAACAGTGCGTTACGATCCGATAAAATCTTCTAAGAATCATCATGGGAGTGAAACTCGCATTCGAAACTTCAGCCGATAAAGTAACACCTTAACCAAGTCTTATTAAAAAATATTTGAGCGGAAAAGAACCCACAATGAAATAGTTACTGTACTTGTGATGTCAACAAAGTCTACGAGATACTTTCGAGGACATTCGACCGACAGAATTTAATGTGAGGCCTTTCTTTTCTTAATTTTTCCGCAACGTTCACGCACGAAACGATATTGCTCGACTCCGATATTTTATCTTTTTCATCGATTAAAACTACTTTCTTAGGCAATTATGAGAAAGAGGCCGCGTGACAAGCGTTAATATGTATATATGTATAAACACCGAGCGCGCGTCGGCTGCCAGCTTAGTGGCGGGTCTCTTAAATAACATTTATTGCGGCACTTGGTCAGAATACGCGCATTTCGCGCTCGGTTTCGTTTCCTTTTATTCAGTCTATTATTCAAGCGCCTTAACCTGCGCCATCACTTTGCCCTCCCACAGTGGCAAAACCTCGGCATCGTCCGTTATCTCCTCTTGTATGACTTTCATATCTAAGTCTTCGCATTCCGTTTTGAAAAAGTACCTGCAATTAAAGAAAAAAAAAAGTAATTAAAATGCACGAAATTATTAATTTGAGTTGTCTCTCGTTAAGCAACGTTGCATTACCGATAACTCCCTTTCTTCGGAAGATACTCCTTGAACTGCTTCAACGTGACGTTGTGACCAGGAATTTTGGTCCTGTAAGGGAATTGCTCGTCACAGAAACTGAACACAACAGTGGTGAAATCGTCCTGCTTCGGTTTCCTCAAAGTGGACTGATTGGATTGGACGTACGGTTGACTCTGCGACGCGAACTCGTACGCCTGTTTCGAAACGTTGATGTGTCGTTGCTTGCAACTAGTGCGTGCCTTGTTCTCCTCCATTAGCCTTCTACAAGTCTCCTCCAGTTGTATAACCTGTGAGATAGTTATCCGTGACGCATACATCTCATTGCCAAATAAAGAAAGGAAAGAACAGCTCATATTCACCGTGTGAGGTGGTGTCAGAGGTGGCATTCCCGGATCAGCAACGAACGGTTGAGCAGGTACCCCCATACTCCAGGTTTCTCTGTTTGGCCTTTCCAAAGACCCACTACGCGAGCCGTACCTCTTGCCGTGACGACTACTGTGCTTCAAATCAACCTTCTTGTCTTCTTTAAACCGAGGCATCAGACGAACGTCCTTATTTATGGAAGGTTGCACGTCGCTGACTACGCTTACCCCGCTATCTGTTAGCTCTGTCATTGACTTTTTCGTGGCTGATCGTCTCGTCATGTCCGACCTTCGGAATCTTTGGTCGTGGCCTGCGCAAGAGAAAAAAAATTTTATTTCATTAACGATCACAATTCGCGTACACAATGCACGCGCAGACCGCCATTCATCATATTTACCTTGAATATGCAGGTCCTGCTTGTGGAGGAAATCGGAGTAATCTGATGGCACAGATTTAGATTTGGGCAAATGTGAGCCTAGTGAACTCATGGAACCGGCACCGACAAGGTCGCTACCCTCGGGGAAGTCGTGAATATTACCGCTATCCACTGAGAACGTGGAGTCCATATCTTTCTCTTTCCTCTGCTTGTAAGGCCGTGGATGATTGTGAGCGGGACGCCTTCTCTCGGGCGAGAGCCTGGGTGACCTTGAGGGTGTCTGATCTGACCAGACGCGAGATACATGCTCGTCGAGAATCGCCTGATCGCTGTCCTCCTCTACAGACAGCTTTTCTTTCAGCGCATCACCGAGAGTCTTGGGAGCTCCACCAGTTTCGACCAACGTATCGTTACCATTTGACACGTCGTTCTCTTGATACAGATATTTCTCCAGTTTCTCGTGGGCCTTCTGCTCTCGTATCAGGATCTCCAATTTCTGCGTGAGCATTTCCGCGAATTGCTCCGCCGTCATCTGCTTCGGGGACGCCATACGCTGAGTTCGTGGGACAACATGATGTGCCATGGACTCGCGATTTATATTCGCGGATTCTTTAATTGCCCTACTAGATTGCTTGCTGTATTGCTTCTTGCTCCTCTGTCTATTGCTCGTCCCATCCCTGCGGGTGACAAATTACAAATACATACGGATTAGTAATGCACTACACAATGCAACAAGTTCAAAATAAATGAAGTGCAAAATTGGAGAAATCCTCCACTCTTTATCTCGGGTGCAAAATCAAAGAACGCAGTGTAAAATTAAAATGAGAAATAGAACTTACATGGATCCGCTGTTGAGGGAGACATTGTCCACCTCGGTACGTGCATCACTGCTCAAACTCTGAAGCTCGGAATCCTGTCTGGATACTGGGTTGTAGGAGGAATATTGTGCGTGCAATCTGGATACGTGCATGTGATACGGACTAGCCCCATGTTGCAAGTAAATGCTATAAGTGCCACGCAAAATAGCAAAACAATAACAACTAAATAAAAGACAAATAAAAATATCATGGTTATCCGTCAAACAAAAAAAAAATAAATAAAATGAAATTTTGCATATCCTGCATATGGACAAACTATCAAAAAACGTTATTGAGGGATAGAACAGCGAATCTATTTTCTGGCAACGTCAATCGCTTTGGAAATCGCTAACGATAAAATGTAAACTTAAAATATAATTCAGATTATGCAAGTTTCATCACATCAAGCTTCAAAAGAAAGGAAGACAAAAACGACAGCATTGTTAAGGCATTCGCAGGACTGATCTGAAGCGTACTATACAGATAACGAATGGTATTTTAATAAGACTCGATAATTTCATGAAAAGCGCATTACCCGGCGTACGCTTCTGGCCTCGGTCGTAGATCCATCGCTCTACTCTGTTGGGTAGCCATTAGCACATCTTTGGTCAATCTCAATTCCCCGGGCGTCCCGCCGGTCGAGTGCGAATTGTGCATGTGTACACAACCGGTGCCGATGTACTCGCTGTCTTCGTGCACGGTGGGCAGCAGACTCGGTCCGCAGGAGATGGACATCTCGCGGCTGCCCGAGCTCGAGCTCGGGCAACCGCCGGAATCGGGATTCTGGCAGGACTGAACGTATTGCACGTACACGTCAGATTGAAGAAAGTTGGGATATGTTGTCTCGTTGATCAGCCGCTCGACCTCCAACTGCACGATGTCGAACACCTTGTGATCGGCGCGGCCTTCCTTGACCCGTCGATCCGCCTCCTTCATCACATCCTCCGGTATGCTTAGCTGCGACTTGAGAAAAAACCTCCGATAGATGAGCTTCACCAACTGCGAGATCTTCTCCATGTCCTTCTGCTCTTTGAGGCCCTCGCAGGCGAACCAGAAGTTGAGCGGATCCAAATGCCCTTCCTGACTAAGGTACCTCTTGAACAGCTCTAAACCCACCGGATCCTCTAACAGGGAGTGCAGATTTCTCGCCCACCGTGCGTAAGCAGGGGGCGAATTGCCCTCCATGGTAGTGGTTCCGCAACAACCCTCCGGCTCAAATCCCAATGGCGCGGAAACATCGCAACCACCACCGGAGGCTTGCGGTGTTGCGAAAGAAGAGCGTCTTGGCGTCAGAGCGGGGCTCTGTGGACGGATCCGGCTGACATAGCTTCCATAGCTTCCAGTTTCTTCTCCTAAAGCATACAAAGTACTTGCTGCAATGCAATTTCAACATATCAACATAGTCTTTCTGTAATATAACATATTACAAAAGCAATTGTAGCTTTAAAAAATATTTATCTTGAAGATATTTGAACAAATTCTTGATTATTTTATTTAAAAAATCTCGTTTTTAAAGAACATAGGTTTTTAATTAGAGCTACAATCGCATTTCTTAAACAATGGTAAACGAACAGCTTCACATTCTTTTGATTTTCTTTTATACGTGCATTAATATGTAATTTCTTCTACTTTTTTGTTTAAGTATATCTTGTCTTACCTGGCACTGGCGGCCTGGGAGAGTTTTCACTGAAGCAACGCGCTTCGCTTTGCCGAGATGCGCTCATTCTATCTATTACGGCCTTCATGTGCTATTTTATTATCTACGCTTAATTTTTGCCCGCGATGCCTCTTAGTGGACATGATTAGTCCCAACCTAAAACAGTAAATAAATAAATTTTAGAATATAAATCTTACATTTATAACATAAATCTTACATTTTGCATTTTTATGACAAAGATACAAATTGTATCCAAGTAGAAATAACGGCTGTCAAGATATATATCTCACTTATAATGACATATAAATAGTGTACTCTTCAATATGTGGAATTCAAATAAAAATAAGAATCATCTATGGCAGTCACGTTCCCTAAATATTACTGACTTTAATGCAGTCATATTTCTGTGAAAGAGTGGAGCTGGTACACGCTAACAAAGGAGGGAAATCTGGGATGCTGGATCGATCGAGCCATGTAGTGAGTCATATCTCTCAATTAAGCAGCTAAGGGAGGTTTTTTCTGTTGCCAGGAACCTTAAGGGTGGAACATAGTGGGAGAAACTATAGACCATCTCCTGGCAGGCTGCGCAGAGGGATGCATTTTTGCGTGTACATGTATATATGCACAACCCCTATTGGTCTGTTGCGCAGACCATTTGTATTGATCGACAAAACCTATAACGCAAGCTATTGAATGTACTTGCCAGTCCTAAAAATCCATATTGCGAGTTTAATATACTCTATTAACTGAAATTGAGCTCTAACACAGTGGAAAAATATTAATAGGTTTATGAGGTAAGGCAATCAGGGGAAAAAAGGCCTATTATGCCTGTAGGGCCCGTTTCCTTTGTTATGACAGGGCATTGAAATATGGTTCATATGGGCCATACTTCAGCCCGAACGGCAAATGTGCAACTATCCACTTGAGCAAGAGATATTACCCCTTGTATACATAATTAATTCACAAGAACTGCTTTCACTGCACTATACAACACATATCGCTGTACAAATCGCACTAAAAAACTTGAAATTTTCACGTTACATGTCTTGATTACAGATCCACAAGGAGTATTCTATATGCATTCACAAAAGTACACAAAGCATAATCGACTTGTATCACCAGCTCGGAACAATTTATGACGAAATAATTTCGACATAATGCTATCAATATCATAGGGCTATTCGAGAGAGAGAGAGAGAAGCTATAGCCCTCGAATGAGTATGGAAACTTGATCCTGACCCATACAAAGGCAGAAATATGAAATGAAAACCTGTCATAGTCAATCATCTCGCTCCACCGCACATTTACCTGAATCAAAAGAGAAGAATATCAGAGTACATACCATCTTGGTGGTGAGTCTAACACAGACAGCCTTCAAATTTGCCAAGTATACAAAGATCTATTATGATTCTGACAAAAGTGAATCTATCCGATACCACAAACACTGCTAAATCTTTGTTATATCATAAAGAATGAGCCTAGGATGCTTTGGATGGCTTCGATAGCACTGCTGCAGGCACACTGAACCAAGGCTGCGCGTCCTGACCAGGACTGAAGCTACGCTGATATGGCGATAGGCAGGGTAGGGATAGCGTCTAGACTCCTTGTGACCTATGTCGACTCCGACAGCAAAACGCCTCGCTAAAATCCTTTCTCGCATTGCTCATTGAAGATGAATCGAGACTCCCTAGTCTGCCTACCTATGTCTGGCACCAAATATTTTTACAGAATTAATTATAAACACATATCTCACTACTGTTAAACTACAAAATACAACCTAGAGAAATAATCATGGAATATCTCAATTAATTTTAAGGACATGTCTCTATATCCTAATGCTGTACAACACAACAAAGAATCTATTGGCATTAGAAAACCTACATAAATTCTCCTTATAATTTTTCTGTGTACACAAATAACTTTATCTTGCTGTTAATATATTTGTTTTCTTTTTCTTTATATTAATGAATAAAGAAAACAAAAAATATATTTAAACCATCAACGAATCGTCGGTAATAGAGGTCGAACGATTGAGCGCACCCACGCTTTCAAACGGCCAGTGGACGTATAATAATAATCAGCAAATTCCTGTTTGTTTGCAGGTGTACCTCTTCCGAGCGAGTCGAAGGTGGACTGGTTGAACGCGATATCCCCCGATGAAAGGGAAAGAAAACGTTTCGTCAGCAACGACGACCAGGTATTAACTTAAGAGGCTTTTCCAGCCGTATCAGTTCTACCGCAGGCATCTCCTCATTGTTCGAGAATCTCTCCAGGTTCATCCTCCAACGGGTGGACGGACGCCTTCGATTTATTCGGCGAAATATCCTCCTCGTGGTGGCGAGAGAAGCCTCGCGACGACACAATCGCTGCCGACGACGCGCATCGCCGAATCGCATTTCTTTTCTTGTACTCTCCGCCCCCTCCGCCTGCCGAAGAAGCGAGGGAACCCGCATTTCGATTCGTCGAAAAGCGTCGATATTAGTATCGATCGTGGAGATCTCTTTCGAAATCGTAACGTATAGCTCGAAATATTCGAGTTCCGTTCGCGCATCAAGCCGGTGTCGCCACCTATCGCGACTGTGACACCAATTTGAAATCCAAAGGTGAATCTGTATTGCCGATCGTTTGCGAGCACGACGGATACAGAAGTGCTCGTTTATCTTTCGATCGTTTCCAAAAAAAATTTGTAACTTTACAATTTTTGTATCTGTAATGTCGGTAGTTACCGACATTGTCGACAGAGCATAAGAATCAATATCAAAAAGCGTGCAAATGTAAATATTGTAATTTTTTTTTTAAATTCAGTAAAGCTAAAATCAGATACAAATTTACAAAACACTTGTCTTATAAATAATCATACCCGTCTAAACCCACACGCTCCGTTAACCAAGATATTAAAAATCACAATTCCTAGAATTTTAAGTTTGTGAAAGTTTAAATGCGAAAATCTAAACTCACGAAAATTGACAAAGTATCAGGAGATCATAATCCGCAAGAAGGTTGCACTATCTAAAACTCCAAGAATTTTACAAGATTTCCAAGAATTCCTAGAATCTCAATTTCCGAGATTCTAAACTCTCCAAAAATTGAAAAAGTATCAGAAGAACATAATCGGCATTATTTATGATTCAAAGAATTTTCCTAATTAAGAATTTTCTAAATTTCTACGAGGTACGATTTTGAAAAATTAAGATTTCAAATATAATACTAAAAATTGACACATTAATATCTAAGCGTTATAGAAAATTGTATTGTTATATTTCAAGTAGATAACAATGCAAAATGTTTTTAATCCAAAAAGCTAAATGTAACATTCTTGAAAACGATCAATGTCATTTAACGCTAATTGCAAATAAATATTAATTCTCAATTGTCGACAAAAAACGTTATGCATGCCCGTTCTCTTACTTATTTACGTAGGGAAGGGAGTATGCGAATCAGGAATGATTAGAATTAAGATTTAACGAAGCTCATCTTCGCGGAGGAGATTTATGTCGTCGTGGTCTCGTCCCGATAATTCGCGCGTTCGCTTTCTTTTAATTATATGTTAGCGCAACAGCGGCGCTCCATCGAATAATTACAACGACGAACGTCATTAGGCAGGCATAAAATGAGGAGGGGAAAGAAGGTTGGGGTGTGCGCAAGGTGCAAATTAAAATTATTATATTTCGCGCCGCGCCCGGTGGTTAGACTTCGCGCGCGCTAACAAATTACGAAACAGTTATCTGTATGCTCCGTCAGCCATCACCTCCACCTCCACCACCCACCACTTGTCGCCGTCCCATTTTATCATTAATGACCTTAACCCTCGCGATCTCAGAACTGGAAATGTATTAAAGCTTTTCCGGCTCGGCGATGCTCCAATCGGGGGTTGCACGCGTAAAACTTTTATCTGAGAGAAATTATTTTCCTTCTTTTTGCATTTTATTCACCAGTTTTCCTTAAAGCCGAGAATGTAAAATCTATGATATGATAATTGTAATTTTCTCAAGTCTGATAAATTTTTTAGTTTCGCTTTGTTTCCATTTTTTGTTGCAGGAAAAAAGACGATTTTCAGTATTTAGATGCTAAATAAATAAAACATTCGCTTTGCAACAAAAATATATTTACATGGAGTGCGCTATGTTTTATATTCTCGATAAATATTTCACATATGGTGTTACCGAAAAGATTTAAAATACTCGGTTCGCTTGCAGATTCCACAATAAAATCGCGATTCGTCCAGCGTGAAATCACGTTTTGCGCGGTCGATGTGGCATCGTGGTCGATCTCGCGATTTCCGAGGAAGCGAAATACCGCGGAGGTATAAAAAGGGACATGCGTTCGACGAGATATTAAGATTTGCCGAAGCGTGCCACATATGGTTTCCTCCGTATGGATTCCGCGAGGAATCCACGTGAGGAATTCTCACGCGAGAGAGGTGCTTCTTCCTCGCCCCTACGCGAATGATATTAAAATTTACGCCCCCGTGACTTCCGATTCTATAGGCACAAAGAAATCGCGCGGCTTCCGGTCACCGCCAATATCCGGGCCTGTAACGTGTCGCCTCGCCGAATATCTGACCCTCGGATTTTTGTATCTCTGTGCAGATTTGTTTCGTAAAAACGACGCTTGAAAAAATCGCAAGTTCTTCGTCGTGCCTCGGTGTGTCATTTATAGTTTAATTAGATTTGACCGAATGACATTTGGATAAAGAATTAACGTAAGAATTTCATGTTTAATTTTGCATAAAATTTTGCGTGAAACTCGATGCTGTAAAAATTTTAGCACGTATATATACCCACAATCAATATTGATTGGGATTCATTTGCACCTCGAGCTCTAAAAATGAGCGTGGATAACGAAGGTCACGAGACGCGATGCAGTTGATAATCACGAGATCATCCGTCATCGAGAGCCTCGCGGTGTCGTTCACTGTCATTGGCGTGTACAATTCGAGAAACGGTTGTCGTCCCGATATGTCCCAGAGCCGATAAAGGGCCATCGTCTACCGAATCGCGATATTACCGACGAAAGTGCAATGGAAGTGCAGATGGAATTAACTGTACCAATATCTCACGAATATGTATTACACGACGACCAGAAATGCAAACGAAGAAAGGAAAGAGCAAAGTAAAGCCCCATAAAGTCGTAGTCTTAGCGTTTTAAACTGATTGTGAATACTATCAGTATTACAAAAGTTGTAACTTTTGAAATAAGATCCGATATGGTAAAAGATCTATTACGATAATTAAAACTGTCATTTAATTTCATTTTACGACACATTTTTGGAATTTTATCTGTAACATTTACTTTTAGAAGATTTCTTTTGTAATTATTCCAAAAAATAATTTATTAAAATTAATTTTTTAAATAAATTTATTTAAAAGGTCCTAAAAATTATTTGTTAAAAAATTGTTTTTAAAGTTTTAAACAGAGAAAACTATATTCGACAAAAATACAGAGATAAACATCTTCCTATAAACATCCGGAAATTCTAAACTTTACATTGAGATATAAAATGTTTCATGCAATACTTCAATAATTCAATATGCATTGCAGAATATCAGATTTAATAACAAAACGGCATTTCCACCTCGAAAGATAAAACGCATATCGCGTTCAATTGGTTGGTTCGCGGGGAAAAAAGCATTCTCGAGAGAAGTGGTGGAGGAAACGAGGAGAGACGAGAATTGTCGAAGCCCCTTTGGCCCTTTTTTACCGTGTGAGATGTCGCGCAGCGACGGGATTGCCTGGAATGTGCTTTGAAACCGTCGTCTCGCCGAGGATCATCGAAATGATTTGCTCATTCGAAGCCACTCGATGTGTGACGATTCGTGGCAAATCTGCTTCTCCGTGAATTTTCCCTATATTCGAACAATCGGTTTTCCACTTCTCATTATTGCGTGAAGAGCGATATTCTTTCATTTATCTCACTTAAACGATGTCGCTATAACTATAATTAAAACTACTTGAAGTCTATAATTAAAACTATTATTACAAAATCCTTAGATTGATTACTGATTATTAGAATAACAAATATTCAGTAAAGATCTTAGAATAATAAAATTATGGAGAAAATTAATATAATAAAATTATGTAGAACTCTGTATTGAATTCTAATTGAAATTAGAGCTAAAAGAATCAGGAATGACGGTGGCGGCTGGAAAGAATTAGAAGCGAGAATGGCTACGGCCAGTCGCCGCGCCGCGCCGGTCGGTCGTTCCCGATTCTCGCGAGGTCCGTTTATCGGCGCGAGCGATTAAGATTCTTTCAAAAAACGAGAGACGCGGACAAGGGTGGGAGGGAAGGAGGGAGGGCGGCAAGGAGCGAGCGAGAGAGCAAAGAAGAAAGGCATCAGCGGACGAAGAGGAATCTTAAAGGCCATCCGGCGATACACCTCTCTATGCAGCCGCTGACACGCCGGCTTTTTGTGCGTCGCGATCGAACGAATCCCTCAGGAAACTGCGACTTTCTGTTCTCGTCTCCTCTACCAATGCGCTCCTCCCAGCTCACATCGGTAATTGTTCGCCAAAGAATTAATAAGATTGCAGTATTAATTTGTATAGTATTATTTAAAAAAGGGTCGATGCATCAATTGACATTCATCATTATTCGATTTTCGATCTTTGAACGATATGATCCACTAATATAGATTGCTAATTAAACTTAATTAGAATAAAAGTTCCTAAAAAATTTCCATAATTTTTAATTAGGAATATTATCGTGATAGTCGTCAGATGGTGAAGAATATCAAATCTTTTGCGTAACTAGAGCTTGAAATACCGTTCAAATTGAACCGGGAAGGTTCAGAACGACGAGTAGCAATAGCAAGCAGAAGAAGAGAAACGGAATGACACGGCGAGAGAAAGCATGAGCGAAAAGAGAGAAGCGGAGTAGAGAGGCGTATAGGTAAGTTGGGCCCTCGACGCAGGTACGGCGGTACTTTTGGAAGAAAAGAAGAGAAGTGGAGAAAAAGAGATCGAAGAGAGAAGCAAGGCCGTACCACGCGCGATTCCTTCGTATCTCCCCAGATATTGTCAGTTATATTCATCATGCTTGTTATTAAAACTCGCGAACCAGAAATTAAAAATGAGCTTTTATAGTTCGTGTATAGGTATATAATTCCAAAAGAATAAGAAATATAATTATAATGTATGATAATACATATGTATAACAGTATAAAAACAAAAGCAATTTGTTTTTAAAACAACGCATATAATTATTCCTGATATTATAACTTCGTCTAAAATAAAAAATTTAAAGAATTATTAATTGCCGTCACCAACTGCTTACATACAATCAAGCAGTTTACGATTTAAAATTATTTAAGAGTAAAAAAAATTATTCTTTTCCTTTAATAAATTGCTATATACAGGTATATAGCTTGGCATATAGCCACTTTGTACAGATAATGTTTAAAGCAGT